TCTGTCCCCACTAGTCCTCTCCACTTTACTATGGTCATATAAATCACCAGCAGCTTCCCTGTGCTCTTCCACACCTTTGTGCTGGGTGATCCTTATTTTCTCTGTCTTGCTTCCTGTTTTTCACTTGACAAATTCCTGCTCCTCCTTCAAAACTGTGTTAAGTGGAATCTCTTCTGGAAAGCCTCCCCTGGCCCACCTGCACCCAAGGAGCACTGACAACGCCTTTCTTAATGTCCCTGTCCTAATGTCCCTGTCACATTATGGTATCAATCATGCTGAATGGCATTCGTTGATCTGTTTCCTTCCCATTAGACTGGGCAGTCCTCAAGAACTGTGACCCTTTCTTAATTATCTTTGTAACCTCAGTATCTGGCACCTTGCCTGGTACATGGTGGCACTCAGTATGAGTTTGTGTCACAAGAATCCTTAGCATGAGACAATTTACACTGCCACTAATCAGTTCCTTTCTTGATTTTCTGCTCGTGTCCAACGAGAAAACCTTTTTGCTTTTTGTTTTTTGGTCTCCTTACAATTTTACTACCTTATTTAATTAGACCTAATTAACAAAGCAGGTTTTGCAACTACATGTATCTCCATCCTGCCCCTTTGCCAACTATACTGGGAAGTAAATTTCCCAGTAGCCATTCTGGATTCATTGACACCCATTCCCGCCTTTCTAGTTCTCTTCAAGAGCACTAGCAATAACAGATGTGGAATTCTATCAAGAAGAGGTCTATAAAGAGAAGAAGAAAAAGACAAAGATGAAGATGATCTGTTGACCTGCTTCTTGAGCTATCTCTTGTTTTGGAATCTTATCTCCTCTGATTTATTTTCTGGGGATCTCCAAAAACCTTGAATTTCTGAAATCCAGGATACACATCCTACAGAACCCATTCTTCTGCTCTCTGAACATCATGGAATCCATGATCATTGAGATAGCCAGGCTGCAAGATGGTGTCCAGCAATTCCCACCTGCTGGTTGTCACAGTTGGGTCCCCACTCAGAGCAAGCCAGAGTTAGTCTATACGGCTGATATGAAAATCAGTCTGTTACTCAGTCTCATCACCTGCTGCTCAGGGTGAAAATAACCCAGCTGCTGTACTGTGAGGTGTCTCATGAAGAGACTGCATGACAAGGAACTGAGGCCCACAGACACCCGCCATGTGAGTGAGCTTGTTTGTCCCCTCAGCCCCTAGGAACTTTGAGATAACTGTAGCCTCGGTGAGACTACAGTTGAGACTCCGTGAGAGTTCTGAGCCCAGATCAGGCAGCTACCTCTGAGTTCCTAACACCTAAAGGTAGTCAATTTTTTTGTTGTAATTTTTATTTTGTTTTGTTTTTATTTTTGTTCTGCAGTAGTGGGGATTGAACTCAAGGCCTTTGAAATAGACCATGGCCCTAGCCCCTTATCAAATTTTGAGATGAGGACACGCTGAGTTGCCAAAACTGAGCTCAGATTTGAAATCTTCCTGCCTCAGCCTCTTACCATGCTGGGATTACGGGCATGTGTCATCATACCTAACCCATTTATTGTTTTAAGTTGCTACATTTAGGGGAAACTGGTTACACAGCAATAGATGGGTAATCGATTAGGCTTCTTTCATTCCTTTGAATCCTAACTTCTAGTCTGCTCAGATCAAACTTCAGTGGTGTGAGAGATGTAGCCATCACCCAGGAATGCTCAGAGTGGGAGGTTTTATTCCACCCTTCTTCTAGTTTTAAGACGTGTGCCTGAGTGAACCAGGTCCCCAGTGATGGTGGGACATCGCCCTGCCTCTGTGCATCTGCGCTGAAATGTTTACTTTTTGGAATCATGGATTTCCACATCTTTTGTTGTAAGGATTATAAGAGAAAAAATCAAATTTTACAAAAAAGATGAAACAAGAAAGAGCTTTAAAAGTGGCTCTCGGAGGGCGGGTCCCAAGTGAATACCTGCTGTTACTGACATTTCTATCAGTAGTACAGCATTATGTCACATCCTATCACTCCAGCTCATGCTTCTGTGGTTTTTGAACAGTGTACATACACAGACTGCCACATATCAGTTGATCCCTACTTTACTGCAATGGGGCTCATTCTCAGGGTATGTCTCTTCTAAATTCATGCTGGAACTAGTTTTCCAGATAGGTCTTAGTTGGCAGAAATAGGGTAGTGAAAACAGCCTTGATTATAACAATTAGGTCATATCTGACACTGCTTTAAAATCTTGATTTCACTTTAATTGGATATTCCCTGTGTTATGGATTAAGAACTGGTGGTCAACTTAATGCCAGCTGGATTACATCAGCATGGTGCTGAGCATAGATGCTCTACCTGAGGAAAGTTGCCAGCATAAATAGAGACATGGAGAAGGAGAAGCTATTGCATTGAGGCATTGAGGCATTGTGGGTTCTCCTATGAGTTGCTGTTTGAGCCGTTGGTTCTTCTGGAGAAGCTCTGGTCCTCACATTGAGCATTGTTTCCTGGCTCCAGAGAGGAAGATGTGTGCCACTTGGTCTCCAGGATGAGCTCGTCACACTGGCTTCCTGACATGTACCCAACTGTGCATGTCGTTGGAAGAGCTCGGTCCTCCGTGTTGCTGAGGATGGCTGTGGTGCTTTTCAGGACAGCCCTGGTCTTTGTTGTGAATGTGACTTCTCGACTCCAGCATAGAACCCTCAACCTACCAGCACAGCTCCTTCACCCCGCTGGCTTCCACCCTGACCTTTGGGCCTTCCCAGCATGGATACATAAAAGAGACTGGCATGGGTCTTTCTTGTGGGCTCTGGACCTCCAGTTGTATTCATGGGAGGCATTGTCATAGGCTCTGGGTTTTCATCTGGACTCATGTGGGACATTGCTGTGGGATTCAGGCCCTTGGCTGAATTTCTGTCTTTGGTGTTGTGAATAGATTTCCTGCAGTTTCTTGTGTTAACTCCGGGTGACCATCATAAAAATAATATTATAAACTCCATGTCCCGATTCTAATTGTTCCCTGCACAACTCCTGACTACAACAGTTTAATTAGATTTACCTTGTTCATTGGTATATGAAGATCTCAGATTCCAGATATTGTTCTGACTTTTTCTGAGTCCTTTTTTCCAAGCCTTTGTAACTCCATCTAGTATAATGTTTAATTTCTAGTTGTTTCTAAAACTTTACATTCAAGTCATTGACAATGACTCATGGTTAGGACATTCATAAGAAGGTGCCTGTTGCTAAAAAACTCACAACCATCTAAGAAAATGTGTCTGATTTGCAACTCTTTCCTTGAACTTGCCATGAGCAAATCTATGAAAGACTGAGGTCTTTTTCTAGCAAAAACCTTCTGGGCCAGATGTGGTGACTGGTTGTACAACTGTAATCCAAGCATCCTGGAAGGACGAGGCAGGAAAAGCACAAGTTTGACTCTAGCTTTGGGCCTTATCTCAAAATAAAAAATGGAAAAGGGCCAGGGATGTAGCTCAGTGAGAAGACCTTGGATTTAACCTAGTACCAGAAGAAGGAAAGAGAAAGAAAGGAAAGGAAAGGAAAATCAAATCTTCCGATGAATATTTTTCAAAGGTTTGAAAACAGTGGAAAATGTCAACATACAGGCCTGTGGTAGTATTACACTTTTCCACGTTTAGCATTTTGTTTGCAAAATTCCAGAGCTGAAACCTTTTATCTCAACAATACTACGTTCTTCTGCCGGTAACAGTCTTTGATATTTAAGCAGTTTCTGTGCGAAGCGTTTCATCACATGATAAAAATGTGCCTTGCTTCGTACAGTCAGGTGACCTGGTACATCTGTCCTTTTTCTCCTAGAGCCTAGCTGTGGCCCCATCTCTTCCTATCCTGTGCTGTTTCATTCCGGAGGCCTACCTTTGCCTGCATTCTAACCTGTAAGTTGCTTAAGACCTCTTGGAATTAGGTCAATGATAAGGCTTAAATAAATAAAAATAAACAAAGGTGTTTCTGAGCAGCTGTATATGAATGGAATTTCTAGCAAGGTTACACACCCTGAGAACAGCTTCTCTCCAGGAAAGCCTGCCTGTTCTTTTGGGGTGCAAAGTAGTAAAGTCTTCTGGTTCAAAATTTTGAATTTTTAACTCACATTTTTTTACAGTAGAGTTCTCCTGGGCCACATAGTGGAAGGTGGATCACTATGAACAATTCGCCAGCCAGTGGCTGTGTACTGAGCACCCCAAAGGTGAGGCGTCACTGTAGCAATGGAAAAGTCGAAGCCTCTCTCTGGAACACCCAAGCAGTACCTTCTCAGTCTGGAGTCTGAGCCACCCAGGAAAACGGTGAGTGCTCTGTCTAATTAGTACTCCTGCCATCTGCAAACAAGTGGAATTTTTTTTTTTTTAATGCTGAATCCCTGGCATTGAGAAGCCCCAAAAAAGACACTACTGGTTTCATTCTGCCTTTGAGAATTTAATATTTCACTGATTTGGGCAAAGACAAGATTATGCTTTCATTTTCACCCGGAGGAAACGACTATTAGCAATGAGCTGTGTTTCAGAAATTGTCCTATGGTGATCAGCCTGCTCCGCATGGGGACCCTCTGCTTCCCACTCCGTCCTCCTCTCCAGCGCCCCCTGCTGCGGCAGCCACCTACTACGGGTGACCGTTGATCTCCCAATGCTTGGAACCCTCTCCCCCAAACTGAGAACTAAGTTATCTTTCCCGATAACACCATTGTTGTTTCGACCCTGATCAAATACAAGAGCCAATTATTTGTCTGTTTCCACTACTTTAGGGGGAAAAATCTGGGTAAAAATGACTGAAATGTGTCAACTCTGTCTTCCCGATGGCCCCCAGCACAGCCACAGTGCGAAGCAGGTTCACGGTAAGCGGCTGATTAAATGATTGGCATGTGCCTTTGTGACACATGGCAGAGCAGAGTGGCCCCAGTGAAAAGCCAGCGGCTGCGACTTCTCACTTCCTGTTTTAATCAGTGTTGTAAGGTTGAAAAGCTGGACACCCAGTAGGTGCTAAATAGATTCATACGGGATGGATTATTCACTGAGCGACAGTGGGTTATGCAGGGTTTATTAATGCTTTTGATGCCAAAGAGGGTGGAGGGTGGCGTTAGTGGAGCACAGCATTAAACAAACAAAGCAGCAAACACAAAACCCAGACCAGCACAGAGGTTGGGAGCTTCTCTGCTTTCATGCACTGTGCTCCCGGAAACAGATGTCCTGCCAAACCCAACAGCGCCTGATGAAACGTCCACTCTTTCAAATGACCTGTGCCTTCCGTAATCACAGGGACGCTCACCCCTCCTTTGCAGGGGTTCTCTGTATTCTAAGACTGATTTCCAGTTGTGGATCCAGGACCAGCTGCGGATAAAGGCAAAATCAGCATCCACAGAGTCTACTGCAAGGGGAAGGCACTGGGCCAATGACAAAGGAAACCACATTCGTACCTTAAGTGTAGGAGAAAGACAGGCTTTGGAATCACCAGGCTCAGAGTCCAGCTCGGCACCTGCTCCCTGGGTGACTGTAGGAGCTCACTGGCCTTTCCTGGAGCTCAGTTTGGGGAGCTGATTGTATTGATCCTGCAGATTACTGGGGCGATTGACAAGATGTTGTGAATAAGAGTACCTGCCAGTGTTCGGCGTGCAGTAGCCACAGGGTAAGAGACCATATGGTTGTGGTTATTGCTATAAATGTGAATGAGGGGAGAGGTCCACTTTGGCCCCAGCAGGCACATGCATAGCACCCTCACGAGGCTCCCTCTCGATGACAGGAAGGCCTTTGCATTGCAAATCCCTTGCCTGCTTGACCCTATAAATATGGCCTATTCTCTGAGCAGGGAATGGATGTTCTGGAGCATTCCAGGATACTTCACTGTGCATGATAAGCCTCCTCCTTCATAACCTATCTTCTCATAGCGTACACAGAAGTCTTGATCGCAGACTCCAGCCTGGGGCTCAGGATAAGGGAGGGCTAGCCTCTGGCCACTCCACAGGCTGATCTTGCGCTTTCTGGAGGAATCTTTGACCCTGAGGAAGAGATTCCTATAAGCAATACCCATCAAGTCTGATACGCCATGCAGAGATCCATGGGGCACAGACCTGGAGAAGCAGTAACCCCAAAAGAAATCCAGACATCCTAGGGAGAGAGAAAAGAGAGTTCACTCACAGCACAGGTCCAGTTAATGTCACCAAATGCCTGCATGCGTGGAGACAGACATGAGCCACAATGCTCCAGATGCATAGACCTCAAGTGCAGACCAAAAAATACCTTTCACAAATGGTAAGAGTTCCCACCAATCAGCTCCTTCCTGGACAGAACCACATGGAAGTATGTGACTTTAGAAATCCTCTGTGCATTCAGGCTCTGGGGATGAAAAGAGGGTAGGGAGGGCAACGAGAGAGAAAACAAGCCTACTGTGATTCTAATTCACACAGCTTTTCTCTTCCTTCCTGACAAGCTGACACCCCCAGTGCGCAATCAGCAAGCTCCAAACCTGGAGATTTTGCTACACTGCAGACCCCATAACCTCAGCCCCACCACAGGCAGAGGAAGTCCTCCGAATGAGGATTCTGCATGTCTGTCTTCTCTGATAATGCCAGCAGGGCAAGTGGGAGAGTTCTTCCATCTTCACCTAGACAGCAGCCTGGGAAGGTGCTTGGAGGGTGTATTCCCGCCTTTCATTGGAAAATCAGTCAAAATATCTTCAGACAGATGAGTGTCTTGAATTGCTGGATCTCACCCTACTGCAGACTCGCAAGGCTGGCCCACAGTTTCCTAATGCCCACAGCTGTCAACCAGGAGGCCGCTCAGAATGCAGCCAGGGGATCCCTGCACTTTCACAGTTGGTGGATCCATGCAGATCAGCTCAGAGGACAGCTGTCTCCAGGAGTGACTCTCGCCTGTGGCTTTGTTCTCCTCTTTGCACTGAGTGGCTGGCAATATACCTGTGTATCTTGTTTAAATCCTGAGTAATTCCAGTTTACTACCTTCTAACACCGCTCCTCACCACCTCACGCACTGAGCATGCCGGCTGCATTATTCACGCCCCTTTGGGTGCTGCAGATCCCTTGGGAGTTTTCCTCCCCTCACCCCAACTCCCACCCTGTCCCTCTGTGAAGCACTGGTGTTGCTCTCCTAACATACAGTCTTCTGCTCTGTCCCCTCCTCTGCCGGTCTCCTCATCCCTGGCTCCAGGCACCAAACATCCATCTGGACCCCCTCCCCGGAAATGCACTTACTGTAACACCAGTGGGACAATTCCCTGGTGTCCTCATTCCTTGTCAGTGACAATCCTCCTGCAGCCCTCAGTAGATTATTATTATTTATTATTTATCAATCATGACACTACTGTGCTTCCTACAAGATAGTAGCACTGCGTTTACAGCCAAGGAGAGCAGAGCTCCAGATCAGACATCACAGGAGAAAAACAGAGGTTCACTGGCAAAGCCCTCTCCCCACTGGGATGCAGGGGTGGGGCCCCGAACAGCCCTCCAGAAGCCTCCAAGTTCAGGTCTAACAGCTAGCGGCTCCCTATGCTACAGCACCCCCTGTCCCCCGTGATTTCTAACCAGGCCTTAGGCCTCAGGGGCTTGCCTGGGGGTGGAGTGGGGGATTGAGGGCCGCCTGCTGTCACCTACAGCCTCCCAGGCTAGAAAAGAGGTAGAAAGGTACTAAGTAACCTTTCTGCAGTAATTCAAAACCAAGTGAGGGAGAGGCAGGGCAGGAGGAAGAGGTCAGGTTATAGAAACCAGACCCAGAAAGTTAGCCAGCAGGAAACATCCCGGCCTAGTAGGAAAGCCCTCCCAGAGGGAGGCCACCACCTCCAGGCCAACTTGGCTCTTAAGGCTGACTGATATGCGTCCTCGCGGGCTGCAAGTGTGGAGGCAGAGGAGGAGACCCAGACCGTGGGGACGGTGACAGCGACCTGGGATGCGTGGAGCGGAAGCCGGAGGCGAGGCACGGCCCGTGCGCGCGCCAGCAGGCAGGGTCGCGCGCACCGCCGAGTCAGGGCAGCAGCCCGGGCCGGTGGGCAGCACGGGCCTGGGCGGCGGGGCTCCGTCAGAGATGTGGACACTGCCCGCTCCTTCCCGTGGCCGCGGTGTCACCGGGAGGGTGGAAGCTGCAAGACGATTGGACTTCGCTTTCTCAAACTTTTCCACCAGTTTCCTCAGGTGTTAAGCCCGGACCGCAGAGCGCCTCCATCCCGGCCCTCCCTCCCCGGCCGCCAGCCCCGAGGCCGCAGCGCAGCAGCCACGGCCACGCTCCGTGCGTCGGTCGGGCACGACGGCTGAGCCCAGCGAGCTGGGAGCCACCGCAGGGGCGGGGCGCGGACGGACGGACGGACGGACGGACGGACAGACGTACACCCCCGCGGGCACCGCGCCCCCAGCCGGGCGCGGCGGCCCGGATCGCTCCGGCCGGAGCCGGGCGCGCGGGGCCAGGCCGGGGCGCCCCGCCTCCCCCGCCGCGCCCCCGCCCACTCGGGCGCCCGTGATTGGCTCCGCCCGCCCCTGGCTGGGCGCCGAGGCCCGCCTCCCTCGCAGCTAAAGCAGACGGTACCCGGAGCGGAGCGAGCCAGAAGGGAGCATGGTCCCCGCGCCGCGGCCGCGCCAGCCCCCGCGCCGCCGCCGCCGCCGTCCCTGCCCCCGCGGGTCTCGCCGCAGCTCCAGCCCCGGCCCCGGCTCCGCAGCGCCCGCCCGCAGCCTCGGCGCTCGCCGCGCCTGAGCACAGCCCCCGCCCGGAGCCCGAGCTGCGAGCCCGGAGCCCGGAGCCAGCCCCGGCCCCGCGGCCGCCGCGGCTGCGGGAGAGGGCGGGGGCGATGCTGCCGGAGCCTCCGCCGCCGCCTCGGTGAGCGCCGCGCCGCACCGCGCATAGCGCGCAGGCTGACAGGCAGGAGGACCGGCTTCCCTCTCCCGGGCATCCTCCCTGGGCTGCCGGGAGGCGGCGGCGGCGGCGGCGGAGGAGGCGGCGGAGGAGGAAACGGGAGAGGAGGCGGGGAGCGGCCACGCGAGGAGGTGGACCTGGCTCCGTTTCCCCCGGCCAGGACGCGAGCGGCCCCAGCCACCGCTCCCCGGCGGCGCCGACCGCTCTCCATCAGCCCCGCTGCGCCCCGCCGCGACCCCGGGCTCTCTGCGCGTCGGGCCGGGGCCGAAGCGCCGCGGCCGCAGGTAAGAGTCGGGCCGGGCCGGGGCTCGCAGGCTGCGGCGCGGGGAGCCGGGCCGGGCCGGGCGCGGGCGCGGGGCCCGGGAGCCCGGAACGCTGGGCTCGGCTCTGGCGGCGGCTGGAGCCTCCCGCGTCTGGACTCCAGGGCTGCAGGAGCCCCTGCGCCTGCGCTGCTCCGGGGGAGCCAGACGGGGGAAAACTTCCTGCCCCCGGGTGTGGGTGCGGGGGCTGCCTCGGAGCACCGCCGCGGGCAACGGAGGGGCCGGGAGCCAGCTTGACCCCTGGCCCCGGGCGGCCCGGGCTGGGCCCGGCGGCGCGCTCCCCTCCCCAGGCCGCCTTCCCCTGCGCGGCCCAGGGCTCCGGCGGGCCGGGGTCCAGCAGGCATCCGGGGGCTGGTCCCCGGGGCGACCGCGCGCCCTGCCCTGCGGGGAGGTGCGCGCCGAGGGGCCACGCGCAGCCGGGGAAGGGATTCCGCACCCTCGCGTCCTCAGACCCCACATTTGGGGACCAGGTTTCTTTACTCGATCCCAAGTAACTTTCGAGGTAGAAGAGCTTGAAAACCATTCGGGGAGGGAATCCGCGCAGACCTTCCTGGGACTGACACCCCCTCTTCCCTTGACACCTAGCGGGTGCCAGCGTGTTGGGGGGCACGAAAGGAGAGCCTCGGGATGCCGAAGGGCGCCGAGGCGGCGGTGGGTGGAGAGGGGTTGTTTATGTGTGGGATAGTGGACGGGGAGACGCGAGTGGGGCCGCGCGCCCCGACTGCCGCGGGAGGTGCGGGAGGGCTGGCGGCGGGCACACGTCCCGGTCTCCATGGCCTGGAGCGGGCAGAGCGCGGGGGTTATCTGCGGTCGCGCGCGGGTGCCCGCGTTGGGCAGCGTCGGCCCGGGGCCCCAGGGGAGAGGCGTGCTCGCTCTGGGCGGAGCGCGGAGCCCGGAGCTCCGGTCGTCCGAGACTGCCCCTGGCCAGGTGGCATCCCTGTGGCGGGGATGGCGGAGACGCGCTGTCTGCCTTAGGCCAGCCTCCTCGGCGGAGCGCGCGCCGGATGCCTGGGTCCGCCTGCTGAGAAGCCAGTTGTCTTTCTGGGCTCTGGAACCGAACGCCAGGCTTGGGCAGCTGGCGAGTCCTCCTGCGGGTCCCCAGGGATGCCCACGGGTGAGGAGCTGTCGCTGCTGCCACCATGCCCCTCGGTGTACATTCTGTCCCTACCGTGCTTCCTGCGCGGCGCACCGCGGGCACATCGTGGACGCAGGTATTTATGTAGCATTAGGTGAAGCCTCGTCGCTGGAGGGACTAGACGTTGAGGATGCCAAGCTGCTGCTGCTGCCCGCAAAACTTCCACTCAGCTCAGGGACATTCGGGCTTCAACGCTGCCAGCTGCAGCCCCACGTCCACAGGGCATCACTGGCATTCGGACTCCTCTGCGGTGACAGATCTGTCCTGGTTACAGCTGTATTTACCCTGATTTCAGTCTCTCCCAGGTCATTTGTCTAGTCGCTACAGAGTGTAGTCTTGATGCTAACTCAACCCTGGGAGGGCAGATTTGAAGAATTATTTCAGCACAGGATACATGACAACAGAATTAGTTAGCCCACCTCATTTCTGATTTGTTTTAGGGAGGGAGTTGTGCACTAACTTCAAAAATAATTTTTTTTTAAACTGGACAATGTTGAACGATTTTATAAATTGTTCATTCAGACCCTTAGAGAAAATGTGTCCAGGAAGCTCAAGAGGCCACTTCCAGGGTTCATTGGCATGTATGTATTGAATTAGTCACACAACCTGGGTGTTTCTACAGGTATGGAGGCAACTGTGTGCCCCCGATGAATATGCCTCCGCCAGGGACTTTGTTCTGGAGCACATTTGATTTATCACCTTGCTATAAATCGGGGAATTACAAGCATATGTGCCCTTAAACCCTGTATGAATTTAATGACATTTAAATTGGTTTATGGGCTGACGCACTTAACCAATTTTAATAACTTTTCTGCACAAACATTTTATAAACCATGTTTGTGCATGATGAAGAAAAACATTCTTCTGTTTGGACTCTCCATTTCTAGTGCAGCTGTGGAAATTTAGATACCTCCAACTTTCACTGCAAGCAACAATCCAAACGAAATACCTAGAGTTTTACTGCAATAAAATATCTTATGGTAGCCATGGTAACAAATAGATTAAGGGTTATTGGTTTTCATCTGTATGTGATGGGGGGTCTACTGTTGTCTCTTTAATTATGTTTCTAATGAGAGATGGTCATATTTCAGGTACTCAGTGCAGGAGGTAAGCCAGACCACAGTTTAGTTTTGTGAGAGGTTACTGGAACAAAAATTCACAGAGCACAAGAGAATGATTGCTGCTAACTGCAGCTCCTTGTATGCTGACAGCAAATGGATAAAACCTTTTTTGTTATTTAGTCAGTTCCTTTAAGATTAGAAAATGTATGTTGTTTATGAGCTATTGCCAAAGGAGCCTTTAAATCCGCCCCTTGTTTTCGAGGAATAAACATGCTAGAAGTCTGGATGTTGGTGTGGCTAGAGTGTCACAGTTGTTGTCAACACCTGTCAGTCTAAGTGAGGCATATCATTAGTCTATTCAAATCTTGCCTGTTTCAATATTCATGCATTTCCATGGTGATCCATTCCGGTTTTTGTTTACATAGTCAACCTTATAAATCTTTGGCATCATTTTCAATTGTACTTTTTTTTTCCCTTTATCAGTTGAATGGGCTGCACATCATCCCCATTTTAAAGCATTTCCTCCTCAGCCCACCCCCAGTTTCCAAAAGTTTACCCTATTCCCAGCTACGCACAGATATAAAGAGGTTAATGTTTTTTGATAGACTCAACACCATCCATGCTAATGAAGTTTTTAACATGTTGGTCTTGTTATGTACTGGGGGTATTTTTTCCTTCCTTCAGGCTTACTGTAAAGCCTTCTTTCATTAAGACCCAGAGACATCCTATCCAGCAGAATTAGCTAAAGTTTTTCCTTTTTTCCTCCTTATCCTTTTTTTTTCTTTCCTCAACTCCATCAGAGTTCAAGGGTTCTTTGTCTTCAGCTATGTCTGGCTTGGAGAGACATGAAGGCTGTGTATTGAAACGGGGCTTCTTTTCTAGGATCTGTTCTCTTCCAGGAGTGGCCAAAGCCAGAAGGTTCTGGAACATCAGAGGATTTTCCAGACGTAATATACATTTAGTCACGGTAATAGTGGCCCTCGGATCATAGTAACGTTGTAAGTCCATGGAATAGGCAGTTTTACTTAAATGCGAGTGATGATTTTGTTCATCCGCTTTCAACTTCGCTTTCTAATGATGCAATCCCATGCTAATCACAGCCCTGTATATTTCAGAAATATCAAGGCAAGCATTAGCACGCTCCTGACTTATTAGGATCAGGCAAAGTAATTGGAACACTTAAGTTCAAAGTCAAATGGAGAAATGGAATTATAACCGACCTTGTGATTCTATAATCAGTCAACTAAGCGCCTACTTAGGGGCAGGAGGAGAAAGAAATACCATGAATAAGAAATCCGGTGCTTGGTTGCCGTGGGTGAGTATAAACCAAGGCAGTTACCGTGTAAGACGGCCAGAGAACAAGACCGCCTCCATAAGCCATACATTCTCCAGGCTGTCCCGGTAGTTTTCACTGTGCTAAGTACATGTAGACACAAATATTCAGCAAGTGGCAGAATATTTCTACTTTTCACAGAAGATAGTCATTCGTCATTGCTCAAAAAAAAAACCCACCTAAGGTCATTTCCTAGCCTACTAAAATTAGGTAGCATGGTCCCTGGAAAATATAATTCTACCATGGAGAATTAATAATTGTGGTTAAGAAGCAAAAGCATCACAGAATTCCTTACCTGAACCTCAGAGCAGAAATGCTGAGATCAAGACCACGGTGAAATCAGACTCTGTAGTTCTCTCTACAGCACGCTTCACTCTCACATAGCCCAGGGTCAGAAAAAGAAGTCTGGACAGTCCAGGAAGCCGCTTGAAAGAAGAAAATGGAAGCTGCTGATTTAGACGAGGCCCGGGGATTCCTGGAAGTGGCCACAGAGTTCTTCACAAGATGACCTTCGTAGTGCAGGGGCATTTCCACCAGCAGAGAGGGGTGGTGGGAAGGGAGAGCGCTGGATCTCCTTCCAGACAGGGTGGCTGTGCAGGATTCAGATGCTCGGTACTGTAGGGTGTCCTGCTTTCGCCAGGCGGACACTTCCTGGACGTGGCCTGCTCTGTGAGTGTCTGTTTTTATCATTTACTTTTTAGAT